TCTGAATTTAGAGGATTTACAAAATCCTACATCAGTTAAATCCTAACTGCATCCAAACAAGCTTAAGAAATCTGCGATTTACCACAAAACATCGACAAAAGGTATTGCACGGAATCCTAGAATTCAAGGGGAAAACACGGTTTGGCCATACTTAAGGCAAATACGGGTTAAATTCAGGTTAAATCTTGCATCTAAACCGCCAAGGTGACAACCTATCTACCGCATGATAAGAAAACAGAACAGAATAAACAAGAGCCACCCAAGACATGAGATCCAACCAAAAATAGCAGAGGCTACCTTCAGATCCAAATATCTAATGACCTAGAAAGAGCATTCTTCCAGCAGAACATGTTTCCTTGACAAAGAAAAGGAACCGATGAAAGCAATAGAAAGAAAGAATATATGTTTGCAGGAGAGGAGAGGAGGCATTAGGAAGTAATACCAATGAGGATGAGGCGCTTGTCGGGCTTGGACGCGCACTTCATGCGGCGCAGGAGCTCCGTCATCAGATCCAAAGAGGGGACATCCTCCAGACTGACGCCACTCTCTCCTCGGCTCGCCATTTCCGCAACTCACTGCCGCGGTCAATCGAACAAGAGGAATTGGACAAAGCTGACTTTTAAATGTCACTTACTTCTTCCCCCTTAATCGATCGCGCTCATCATCGGGGTCGGGACACGGACATTAGGACCGGCCAGGCACAAGAACCGTGCTCAGGTCAAACTCCTCCCAGTTTGATGTCGCGGAAAGGGTTAAAAAGTCAAATTGACTTGTGTAAATCTGATAAATCCGACCCGTCTTTCAGCCCGACCCAAGAGATAACGTTAAATTTAGTTTGGCGCTTATTATTTTAGAATTTAAGGCGCGAATCACCGCAATATATAACGCTTAGGGCCAAAATTTTCGCAGAAAAAATGCCGATGAAGATGGAGATTGATCTGGATCTGGAGGAGGATGTTAGTTTTTATGAGCAGACAATATTTTCGCAGGTCTCGGAGGAAGTCGATAACCTGGAGAATGCCGACGTCCAGGAAACAAGTGCACATGAAGCAGAACCAGTGCGACTTGATGAAAAGTTCAGCTTATCGGTAAACTTCGCCTTCTTCCAAGTTTTCTTTATAGCAATGTTGCAATCAAATTTATTTACATAGTCATTTTTTTTTATGTAATTATTTTAGGGTACAAATATTTTAGATGTTCCCTTCTTGATGTAATTATTATCAACAATGTACATAATGTTAAATTGTAATTGATTTTAAAAGAAGACTCGATGTTCCCTTCTTTTATAGTATTATTGAGCTAGGGTACAATAACTGTTAAGAGAGTTGTTATTTTGCATGTTTTACATTCTTGCAACTTGTATTATTTTGATGATTTCAATTATTATTGTTTTACATATATCTCCGAACACTATTTCTTGCTCTAGTGTGTACTAACATTTCAGGAAAATCAACTCCAAGATATTGAAGACTTGTAATCAAATTCAACAAATTTTCATAAGTTTTGATATGAGATGGAGTGATTATAATTGAGTGAAAAATCACAATATACACACTTGGGAAACTTTTTTGTGAATTGATCGTACAGGACGAACTTAGTTCGTACGGGACGAACATGTCAATTACCCCTAAGGAGAGCAATGGATCGAACAGGTGGAGAGAAAATTTTTCTAATTCATAATCGTCCAGGACAATTTTAATAGTCATCCCGGGACGAATGTCCTGGGATTCTCACTTTTCTACTGTTCGTCCAGACGAAATCAATGGTTCGTCCCAGGACGAACGTCTCTGTATTCTCACCGTCCCCTGTTCGTCCAGACGAAAAATAAGGTTCGTCCCAGGATGAACGTCTCTGTATTGAGGCTTGCTCCATTCATCCAGACGAAAAATAATGTTCGTCCCAGGACGAACGTCTCTGTATTGAGACACACCGAGAGCTCTCTTTTATGCAGGAGGGCAGCACTTCGATGGAGAGGTATCATATGAGAGTTGTTGTACATCAGGTCCTTAGCAGATGCTATGTACAGAGGTATAGGCCTATCTTCTCTGCGGGATGCTCTTTTGCGCTACGATGGAGTGCTCTACTCTTTCAGTGCGCCACTCTTTCTTTTCCCTGTATCTGTAGCTGCTTTTCCCGCACTCTCTTTTATCCGGGACTTAGTCATATTTTGTTGAGCCTTTTCTTTTTGAAGTCTAAAGAATATGATTTAAAGGGAATTGGTGTATATAGTTTAATAGTTATAAATTACTTAGTCATTTATCTATAATAATCATAATATATTCTTAAAATTTTTCTATAAATATATACTGATTAATATACTATAATGATTCACTCAATAAATTTTTTCTCGAACTATAATGATTTCTAATAATGTTTATATACGAAATAAAATGAATAAAAATATATAAATTGAAAAAACTGATGAATATATAATAATAATAATAATAATAATAATAATAATAATAATAATAATAATAATAATAATAATAATAATAATAATAATAATAATAATAATAATAATAATAATAATAATAATAATAATAATAATAATAATAATAATAATAATAATAATAATAATAATAATAATAATAATAATAATAATAATAATAATAATAATAATAATAATAATAATAATAATAATAATAATAATAATAATAATAATAATAATAATAATAATAATAATAATAATATACTTTACAACATATTAAAAATATGCAATGAAAAGTTTGGAAATCGTTATAAATCTGAGTTTATATAAAATCTAAAGAAATAAAGTATTATAAAGCAAACACAAAGTAGTTCAAGAAAATTTTGATTTTTCAAGGACGCCCTAATTTTTAATGATAATAAGTTCAATGAGAAATCTCATTTTTTATACCTAACAGAATCATAAAATTAAGTAAAAATACACATACAATAGAGCATATAATGCTTTTCATTATGTGAAAATGATTTGTAAATTGAATGTAAAATAGTTAACTAAGGCCAATTTCAATATATAATAATTCTCCCCAACCAAAGTCAAAAAAATTTACTAATAAATTAGATTAAATTTGATACTTCATCAAAAAATTATCTTGATTAGACACGAATCTCGATGCAAAATCAAGTCGGAAACTTCCGAAATTAAAATTGGGACCATTCGAACTCCGATTTCAGCAAACTTACAGTCAAACTGCATCTCGAGAATACAAGACTAACGACATCAAATTCAACCCAATCCGAGCCCAAACAGATCCAAATCAAGGGTTAGAACTGTTGTTGGATGGTTCGAACCACAATTTGGATTACCAAACAGTTTTCAAACATAATGTGTTTAAAGTCGAATTGAGCGGCTCGGCGAGGCAAAGCTAACGAGCCAAAGATCAACTAATTCCAACATCACTAAGACATTCAAATGCCCATCAAACGATCCATGATCAAGGGATTCAACATCGGCCGTCCATTCAACCACTCCCCATTTACCATTGATCTCTCACATATTTACGGACCATGCCACTCCAAAAATCTATAAATATACCCCTCATTTCTCTTGAAAGGGGATCCAAACAAGAGGAGAAAAAGAGTAGAAGAGAAGAGAAGGAAGAGGCTCCTCCTCGACCACCGCCTGAGTTCCTCCTCGACCACCGCCTGAGTTCCGCCGGACCACCGCCTGAGTTCCGCCGGGCCACCACTTGAGGCCTTCATCCTCACCTAACCACGACCTGAGGCCCTCACTTGCGCCAGAGTTCTGTCAAGTCACCGTCAGACTACTAACTGACCCTCCAACTTCCAAGTGAAGCCAGATTTCACACTAGACTTCAACCATCCGGTTGACATTTATAATCTGATCTTCCTCAAGGACGAGTCAGCTCACTGTACTCAACTCGAATTCTAGTGAAATCTTTTCAACTGTGCTAGGCTCCGTGGTTTTTTCCCTTCTCAGGATTTTTCACGTATAAAATATTGTGTTTTCTATGTGTGAGCTGGATATCCATGCAACGCTAAAATGTAAAATTACAAATGTATTGCCGCCTATATTCTAGCCCGCAACAAATTTAACTCTAAAAAATTAATAAATATAAAATAAACATAAAAGTCCTACTAAAAAATACATCAAGTCATTGCAAGTAGATGTTTGATAGCGTTAGAAATCGCGTGTTTATTCAATCAAATCTCGTAACCCCGGCGGCCGGTAGCGGCAGCGATAATGGTAGCGGCAGGTGATGCGACGCAGCATCATGGGCAACGATGATGCTCGGTGACCCGCGATAGACGCCATAGCTACTGTGGCTCGCGGGCAGACGCCAGACGCGACATGAGGCAGTAGCTCGATGAGAAGCGGGCAGGCTAAGAAGGCAGACGCCTTTTTCCCGGGTCATTTCCAGATCATTTTAGGGTTTCCATGTCTACCCGAACCCAAACAAACCATACTCAGTTTGGGTTCGGGTCAACCCGAACCCAAAATATATGGGTCAGGTTGGGGTCGGATTTTCAGGTTGTGTCAAATTTTGACACCCCTACCTTCAAACTCTATATGAGCCATCGATGTCTTCCTTTAATAAGCTTGGCAAGATCGATGAATGACACCAAGGTTAAAACCAAATTTTGTATCAATTCAAATTTGTCTAGTGTGAACCAATTTTAAACGTCGAACGAGTCCGATAATCAATTTGTAAATCTAAAAATTCTCTCTTATTAGAGCTAATTTTGTTGGACCCTCGAGCACATTTTCTCAAATAATATGCAATTGAGTTAGTTAACTATGAGGCATATAACTTATATATAAAATAATTTATAATGAATTTAAGTAAAGTTTTTAAAGGTTACTTCATAGTTGAATTTTTTAAAAACAATTTATTCTATAAAATAAATATTTTGTAGTTCGAACTTGATATTCCATTCATTCATTCATTCAGTAAAATTCACTTTAATGCTAAATATTTATTCTTTTTAATTAATAAAGAAAGCATGTCCCAAAAAAAAAATTAATAAAGAAAGCATAATTTTCGGTTGAAAACCCCAACTTGAGTTGGCTTTCGGCTTTACCTTTCTAGTTTCTTCTATTCTCCTTCGCCTTTCTGCCCTCTTCCGCTTTGCTGCTGAGCTCATCTTCCTTTTCCTTCCATGGCTGCTATGATGCTCTTAGCACTCTTTCTGACCCTGTTTAGTGGTCGTTCTGGTAACTTCAGCTACCAAATCTTTGATTACCCTTTCTTTTGAGACCATAAGATCTTTTACATGCTTGGGGAGAGAATTCTTCTCTCTTTTATTTTGGTATCCCAAAACTTTTGTAGCTGAATTTTGCTTCGGGGGAACGATAATTTGTTAGAAAGCTCTTCCTCTTTATGTATCCAAGTGCTGTGATGCGAAATCAATATTGCACAGTTTAGGTTTACAGAGAAATCTCATTATTCCGTCAGAAATCAATAAGTTGGTTTAAGAGTTTCAAAACAAAAAGAAAGAAACAGAGAAGCTGTAATCTTCATCTTGTTCTACATTCTTCTTTCATCTCCTCATACTTTGCGATTTAAAATTTGTTTTTATTTTTTCCTTACTTCCTTTTCAGCAGTGATGTTTTTGCTTTATTTTCTTAACATTTCCTTCAAATTCTGATGACTAATGGACTTTCTTTCTTATGTTTATTCACAAATTTTCTTCTTCTGTATGGAAGATGGTGCTTGGTGTGTTTGTAGGCAAGATGCGAGCAACACCGCCCTTCAGAAGACCATAGACTATGCCTGTGGAGCTGGGGCTGATTGCAATCCTATTCTCCAGAATGGCGCCTGCTATAATCCCAATACAGTGCTTGCCCACTGCTCTTATGCTGCTAATAGCTACTACCAGAGGAAGGCTCAGGCTCAGGGAGCTTGTGACTTTGCAGGAACTGCAACAATATCCCAAACTGATCCAAGTAAAGCTCAATCTGTTGATTATTTTATCATTTCTTTCATGGTGCGCTTATTTTGGAGAAAAATGTTTTCATCACATTTCAGGCTAATTGTTGCTATCAATGGAGAAACTTGGAATGATAGATTACGAAATGATTTTAGTTAGAGAAATTTTAGTTTTTCCATATTGGAATCTTTCAATACATACATTATTTTTTTCAATGCAAAATTACTACTTTCTTCATGCTAGTATCTGCTTCTTGACAATTTGCAACCTGCATAGCTTTTATTTAAGATGAGAGTCTGAAAATTTGACCAAGTGCATGTGTGGGAGCTAAGCTTGCATTGAGAAGGCATGCGGTGCTCTATATTCTTGAAATCTTCGTATTATTTCAAATATATTTGATGTTATGCCCCATCTATTTTTGTTATTAAAGTTACATATTGATTATAATAGATCAGTTGTGAAAAGGTTATGGATAAGTTATGCTTCAGTGGTTTGGGCATGTAAAACAAAGGGTGACAGATGCACTAATAAGACATGAAGAAAGCTGTAGAAGCATTAGGAACAACAAAAAAAGATATAGATTGAAGGCCATATTGAGGTTGTGCAAAAAAATTATGCAAAAGAGGTGATCACCTCCTCTAGCAATTAGTAGGGGATGAATGGAATGAGAATTCATAAAGAATTTATTGATGATGGTGGTGTATTTAGAGGTGTTTGGCCAACATAAAATCATTGAAATGTGTAATTAATGAGTTTTATAGTATTTCACATTATTTTGCCTTTTTATTTAGCACCTAGAAAGGCTATGTGAGGTAATCTTTTAACCCCTTCATTTCTCTTGTAGGTAACAATGGCTGTTCTTATCCTTCCTCCCAAAGGTATTATTGTTATTTTGTTTTGCTAAAGCTTATTTATTTCAAGTTATGCTTCGTTTGGGACAACTTTCTTCTTGCTTTCTAAAACAGCTTTCTAGTAGAAAAATTTTTTGAATCTGAAATTTTTGTACTAAATAGCCATTTTAAAAAGCAGTACAAAAGCTGTCTCAAACGAAGCCTTAATTTTTCTATCTTGTTTGTTTTTTAACGAGCTTTTTTTATTTCTCACTCTACTAAGTTGGACCATCCATTGATGGGTCGTTATTTAGGTTCTTTCACTTTGTTTAAGCTCTATATTTCAACACGTCTATTTGTGGTCTTTGAGCTGTGTTGCATGGAATGGTTCTTTCGTAATGATAATATAGCACTTGTATATCCTGTTAGATGGAAGGAATAAATGCTCATCTTTGTGGTTTCCTCACTTAGCCAACTTGTTCAAGAAAAGGCATTAGGCTTGTACCTTACAGTTTAATGGGATTTGGCCATGACAGGATCAAAATTCTCTTAAATCCACTTGATGTCTTTGGCTCATTCAACCAAATAAATTCTATTAAGCATGACCATTAGATAAAGATTGCAATCATTAAAAAGCCGTTTAATTTGCTACAAAAATAGGACTGCATGTAAAATACACCCATGAAATATCTATCTACTTTTCAAGAAAAGGCATGAGACTCTCTCTTAATAACTTTATGCAATTAGGTCATGTTAGGAACAAGATTCTCTTTAGTCTACCAAACGGTACCTTTTCTATGGTTCATTGAACCAAATAAACTCTATTATGCTTGAGCGCTCAAGGCTGTCAGTAATTTAGTTGTTGGCAAGAGATCTGTCTAATCATTGCAACGGTAGTCTTCAGCAATTTTGTGAAAATTTAGCGAATGTAATAATCATTTTGCGTTTAGATACTTAAAAAATGTCATTATCAGTGCTAGTTTTACTTTATATTATATTTTCGAGAGATTATTTTGTGCGGACACCGGATGGAGAGAACCATCCGGTTATCTTTTTGTCTACTACGGTAAAAGCGCAATCAAAGTGCATCTATGCTTTTACTGTAGATAGAGAGAAAACTGGATGGTTCTCTCCGTCGGTGTCCGCACAGAATAAAAAGTCTATATTTTCACTGTAGGTAACATCCCATAAAAAAAAACAAAGAAAAAAAAAGCATGGCCTTGAAGCTTGAGCGTTAATATCACAATCAAACTCTTATCATTAGTCCTATCTCAAATATTTAGTCCATAAGGTGTCAAAGGAAGACAAATTGTAAATATATCATACAAATTTCTTCTAATGGCAGATGATGAATTGAGAAAGGTTTGTTTTAATTATTGAGAGATCAACACTTTCTATAGATATAAGCTTTCATGATGAATTATACTCGGATTCCAACATTCGAAGATCTCTCAACCACATAGCTCTACTTATATATCTAATTCAGCAAAAGAGATGAAGATCTTCAACATAAGATTCGAAGATCATTTATTAGATGGTATAATGGATATCTAAGAATTAGAATTTCTTTCCCAAGCAAATTAACCTGCCTATTCATTTAAGCTCGGCAGCAAGTTCATGAGCTCATATGAGTTCTGGATAAGAAATGCTCAAGTAACACCAGAATGGTCACATAATATGTTAAAACTTATCTTATATTTGGTTTTTCACAACTTTTTTCTATGTTTTTGAATCTCATATTCGACCACTCGTTTAGCTTTCTATCTGATATTTTATTTTATCCATTTTTTGTTCAGTTCATCTGGGAGTAGCAGCAGCAGTCCTGGTACAGGAAACTCAACACAGAGCCCTGGCTCAGCTTCAAGTTCAACTGGCTTTACTCCAACCCAAACTGGAACAGGAGGAGTTCTGGGAGGTCTTGGCCCTTCAGGAACTATCACTAGTGTAGATGGAAGTGAAGCTGGTTTTCTCCCAGATCCAAAGATTTTCTCTCTGTTTCTCATCATTTTACTCTCTGATTTGGTTTTGCTGATGCTCTGATTGAAGAAAAGAGAGAAAGAAAATGCCTTGATTAGTTAGAAGAAGTGGGTTTTTGATTTCTAATGGTTATTGCGTTGACTTATGAGCTATGGTAGTGGTGGGTGGGGTAGGTTGGTGTAGTAGAAATTTTAAGTGCCTTGTTATGTTTCATTTGTAAATCTTTCCTGGAGGGTACTTCTATTGATGTTGGTGATATGAGAATATTTATATTTTTGTTTTTTTTAATATATATATATATATTTTTTAAAAATTGGGGGCGAGATTTGAATTCATAACCTTTTAATTGAAAAAATTATTATGTGCAACACCGGATCGTCTGGAGGCTAATCAGAACATGCCACATCACCTGTAATATATAGTCGTGATGTATTATTAGATGATGTGACGCGCTCCTATTCATATCCGGACAATGTGAGATAATAATTTGACTCTTAGAGGCGGTTTGATATTGGATTTATCATGGGATTTAAGTTGGATTAACGCTAAATCCATCCAAACGGTTTTTGTGCTCGCATTAAAACCTGGGATTCTGTAAATCCCATATTTATAGATTTACGGCTTAAATCACGGATTTACTAAATCCCTCGGTTCGGTGGATTTAACGGGATTTAACATTAGAAGCGTGGAGAAAAGGAAAACCTAGATGCTCTGTAAGTTATAGATAATTTAATTAATATAATTATAAATATTAATAATTAAAGTAAATTAATTAATAATTAAGATATAATTAACTTGCATAAATTAATTTATTATCTAATCTGTTATATAATTAGAATTAAATATTAATATAGTTAGCTTAATTAGTAGTATAAGCTAAAAAATATATATATTGAAATTCATAACACATTAATTTATTTTTATTAAGTTTTAATTATAAATATTTTTTTTCACATATATTTTTAATGTCTATAATTTTGAATATGTATATCTTAATATATAAGAGATTTCAAGTAACACCATTTGAAGTTTTTAAACCGGAATTTCCCACCTGTAATTCGAACCAGTGGCTCCTTAGACAGAACTCCCTTACTATAACTAATCAAGCTCGCGTTCTTTTTTTTGGGGAAATTATTGTACTTAAAGCAATACAGATGACCCAACCTTTCATTCTGACTAAGCTGCTCAGCGTTTTTTTTTAATAATTGTGTTTTTTTTTTTTGGGCAT